CATGACTATCATTCAATATAGTATTGGAAGTCCTAGCCACAGCAATCAGACAAGAAAAAGAAATAAAAGGCATCCAAATTGGAAAAAAGTAAAACTGTCACTATTTGCAGATGATATGATACTATATAGAGAGAACCCTAAAGACTCCACCACAAAAAACTATTAGAACTAATAAATGAACTCAGTAAAGTGGCAGAATACAAAATTATTGGGCTGTTGGAAAAGTCATGATGCGTTTTTGCAACGAAAAACAGAAAAAATACGTCATGACTTTTCTGACAACCCAGTAATATACAGAAATCCGTCATGTTTCTGTATGCTAACAATGGATGATCAGAAGGAGAAATTAAGAAATCAATCCCATTTATAATTGCATCAAAAAGAATAAAATACCTAGGAATAATTTAACCAAGGAGGTGAAAGACCTATGCTCTGAAAACTATTAAGACACTGAACAAATAAATTGAGAAGACACAAATAAATAGAGGGATACACTGTGCTCTTGGATCAAAAGGATTATTATCATTAAAATGTCCATACTACCCAAAGCAATCTACAAAGTCAATGCAATTCCTATCTAAATACCTATGGCATTCTTCTTACAGGTAGAACAATAATCCTAAAATTTATATGGGATCACAAAGACCATGAATAGCCAACGCAATCTTGAGAAGGAAGAACAATGTTGGAGGTATCACACTCCCTGATTTCAAACTATTCTACAAAGCTATTATTAATCCAAACAGTACGGTAATGACCCAAAAATGGATGCATAGGTCAATGAAACAGAACAGAGTGCCCAGAAATAAACCCTTGCTTATATAATCAACTAATCTACAACAAGAGATAAGAATATACAATGGAGAAATGACAGTCTCTTCTCTTCAACAAGTCATGTTGGGAAAACTGGACAATTATGTGAAAAATTAAACCTGGACTGCTCTCTTACAACACATACAAAAATAAACTCAAAATGTATTAAAGACTTAAATTAAGACCTGAAACCATAAAACTCATAGCAGAAAACATAGGTAGTAAATTACTTGACATCAGTCTTAGTAATATCTTTTTGAATATGTCTCCTTGGGCAAAGGAAACAAAAGCAAAAATAAACAAACAGGACTTCTTCAAACTAAAAAGCTTCTGCACAGTGAAGGAAACCATCAAAAAAATGATAAGACAACCTACTAAGTGGGAGAAGATATTTGCCAATGATACATCAGATAAAGAGTTGATATACAAAATTTAAGGAATTCATACAACTCAGTAACAAAAAATAATCTGATTAAATAAATGGGGAGAGGATATGAAGAGACATGTCTTCAAAGAAGATATATGGATAGCCAACAGACATGAAAACATGCTCAACACTGCAAATCAAAACCATAATGATACCACCTAACACTTGTCAGAATGGCTATTATCAAAAAGTCGACAAATAACAAATGCTGGCAAGGAGGTGGAGAAAGGGAACTCCTATACACTGTTGGTGGGACCACAAATGGGTGCAGCCACTACGGAAAGCTGTATGAAGATTCTTGAAAAAACTAAAAATAGATCTACCATTAGGCCCAACAATAGTCTGGGTATTTAGCTGCAGAAAATGAAAACACTAATTCAAAATGATATATGTGCCTCTATGTTCACTGCAGCATTATTTACAATAGCCAAGATATGAAAGCAACCTAGGTGTCCATTGATAGATAAATAGATAAAAAAGATGTGGTACATATATACCATGGAACATTACTCAGCAATACTCGTAAAAAGAACCCAAACCTGCCATTTGTGACAACATGGATGTACCTAGAGGGTACTATGCTAGATAAAATGTCAGACAGAGAAAGAAAAGTACTGCATGATTTCACTTATATGTGGGGTTCTTTTCTTTTTTCTTTTTAAATTAAAACTAAGGAACAAACCAAACAAAACAAAAACTGACTCATAGAAACAAAGAATAAACTGATGGCTGCCAGAGGAGAGGTGAGTGGAGAGATAGGTGAAAAAGGTGAAGGGGCAAATAGTCAATAACATTGTGATAACTTTGCATGGTGACAGATGGTTATTAGACTTAGTATGGTGATAACATCATAAGGTTATATAAATGTTGAATCACTATATTGTATACCTGAAACTAATATGGTATTATTGCCAACTATAATGAAAAATTTTTAAATAAAATTATTAATATTGTCCTTTATGTTTCCCCTCTTTTTTTTCTTGTTCAGACTTGCCAGAAGTTAATCAATTTCATTGGCTTTTCCAAAGAACTAGTTGGTTTTATTTATCTCACCAGTTCTTTTAAATTTCTTCACTTTGTCAATTTAGTTCTTTTTTCTGTCTTCTTGAACTAAATATTTAGTTCATTTATTTCTAATTTTTCTTAATGCCTAATAATTATATTTGTCTCTGAATAACACACTGTCCATAACCCATATGATTTGATAGGAAATGTTTTCATTGTCATATATTTCTAAATAGTTTGTAATCTCAATTTTGATTTCCTCTTTAACCCAGTAGTTTTATAGTTCCATAGATTTAAGGTCAGAAAAATATAATTTACATAATACCTACTTTTTGGAAATTGTTAGGTTTTCTCTATGACCTATTACATCATAATTTTATTAATATTCTATTGGCATCCTTATGGCAAATGCATTCTTTGCACTTGTATCTGTAGCTAGAAAATCACGCTGTTATTCAAATTCTTTATAGCCTTAGTTAACAGCTTTTGCTTTAAACGTTTTGATGCTAAATGCTTGGTACAAAAAGGTTCACGGTCCTCAGATCCATTTAATGAACACTAGGTTTTATCAATACAAACTAACATTGTTGTGTCATTGAACCATTCCCTAATTTTGATTCCCACTTTGTCTAGTGTTAGGTACTACTCCTTGCTTCTGTCATCAATCTGTATATATATATCTTAGTTTTCCCCAATATTTTTATCACTTGTTTAAATAGTTAAGCAGGATTTTTATGTTAACTCAATCTGGAAGCTCTCATCTTTTAATAAGGTAAGCGACAGTTACAGTACAAATGTCATAATCTATTCAAATCTAAAATTCACTGACATTTTTTAATATAAAAAATCAGTTTCTCCTATATTTACAAAGTACAGCAAAATTGGTAGGTAGGTAGGTAGGTTGCAAAAAATATGTTGCTGATTCTAAAGGAGTACTGCTTACATGTGGTAAAATATAGTTAACTGCAATGTAAGGAAATCCTACCAACACTGACATATTTCTAACATAACACATGGGCATTTTGCAGGAATGTTTATAAGTTTCAGCTGTTACAGTCCAGCTGATAGTAATAATAAACTTCTAATGCTGAGAAGCTGGTATGACACAAAAAAGCAGTCTCAGAGGAACAGATATATAAAAAGAGATGCAACTATTAGAGAGTCATAGGACAAAGAGAAGAAGAGACACATGTGAGAAGCCTGAGATGTTGAAAACTACAGGAGCCACTTAAAAAAAAAATTGCTGTTTACACTTACAGAACAGCCAATAGTATAAGATACTATGCCTTGTGCATACAGTTTTATTTCTATAAAGCTGAGCTGCACCTTTAAAATTGATGTGCAGTTCTAATATAATCTTCAGTTATTTCCCCAAAACCTAGTAAGTTGATGCTATAGTTGATAATCGACCATGTTTAAGAATAGAGGAAATATGAGATAGAACATATGTATAAAAAGACTCAAAATATTTATAACAAAGATTCAATGTAAATGAAGTAGAGCAGTAGACGGCAGAATGCCTAGCTTTGAACACAAGCAACATTTAGCAAAAAACATCAATGCAAAACAAATAAATTTTTATAGAAATATCTGTTCTCTTACCAATCCTTGTTTCATCAACTCTTAAACATACTGACTAATGCTGCTGCATACTAAGTGTTAGTCTATCCACACATATTTGCTGCAGAGTTACATGCTTACTAAGAGTCCATTGTGTTTATTCCTAAACCTGTTTATCACAACTGTATTATTTCTATAATTACATGAACTAAATATTACAAAAACTGATGAAATATGAGTGAAAACAGAAAAGACAGCTGTTGCCTCTATGACAATTAAGTTGAATACTTTAGACTCGCAGACAAGTTATTAAAAAAACAAGTTTGTTAAACTTCAGTGTGGTAAGGGGAAAAATCTGTAGGGATATAGAAATATTCTGCACTCAGATTTCTTAGGAAGTTGAAGTTCTTTGTTCCATTGGAAGGAAATCAAAACTACAAAACTCTGATGATGCATCAGTGGCAGGGTGATAGCAGAAGACTGATGAATAAATATAGATTTATATTTTGAGTGTTTTAAGAAATGATTTCTTGCTTAGTACTTTTTAAATTAGCTGACAACTACCACCAGTCCACAACAAATAAAAGGCTTCTAATGTAAATTAGAAAACAGTAAATATATTATTTCCTGACAACCTTAAAGCTTGTTGGATGTTTTCTCCAAGATTTTATTTTACAAATTTAAAAGAGAGAAAATCTTAAAAGAAGCCAGGGAAAACAGGGGGGCAGATAAGAATGATGGTTAACTGCTCATCAAAAATGATGCAAAAGAAGAGGCAATGGAAACACATCAATAAAGTAATGAAAGATCAAAAGGGGGAGAAAAATCTATATTCATTGATAATATGCTTCCAAAATGAAGAAAAATTTTTAAATTTTCATATAAAAAAAGTTGAATTAGTCTCCAGCAGATCTGTATCAAACTTCCTTAAAAAAGTATATTGGAATGCAAATAAGTTAGTGTGATGTTAGTATAGGAATAAATTCTAACTGGATCCAACTTTAATGTTATTTAATAATAATAACAAAAATCCGTTAACTCCGGTCATTCATTATTAGTTATGAAATATTTTTAACCTACTTCAGGACTACTGTGATATGACACAGAAGTGATCTCCGTAATACATAGTGACTGCCGATAGAGAACAGAACACTAGTAAAAAAGAACTGTTTATTTCATTCTTGAGCATACTTACCTCTTTGTTTTGGAAAAATCTGTTCAGGATGCTGTAAAATAAATGAAAAGTGCATTAGATAATTATTGTATCATATAAATCTAAGTGAAAAATTTAAAAATATTAATTAAGAGAATTACCTTCATTATTGGCCTGGCTCGCTTCTCAAACAAACCACTGGGGAAGAGGTAAGCAATAGCTCTCTAAAAATACACAGAAAGGTTAATTAATGATTGTTATAAAAACCAGTTACTGTTATGTCTAATAGTTATTGAGTGCTTGCTATGTGCCAGACATCAAGCTAAGAGTTTCATATACATTATCTCATTTCAAAATATTTTAAATGAATGAATTACCACACACACACATCCTCCAAAAGAAAAAAAATTTGTAACTATAGGAGGTTCCCCCCATCCAAGGGGGATAGTTCCAAGAACCCCAATGGATGCCTAAAACTGCAGATGGTAGCAAACCATATATATACACGTATTTATCCCCTATATTTTCCCCCCTAAACTTTAAGTTTACAGCTCCTTTCTGGAGACTCCGAATTGCCAGCATCCCTACTCTTGCACTTTGGGGCCACGTTTAAGTAAAATAAGGGTGCCTTGAACACAGGCGCTGAGATACCATGACCGAGAGGGCCACTAGGTAACTAGCGATCAGGGAAACAAGTTATCTTTAATGTCTGTTTCTCAATGGGGATGCTATTGGCGCTTTGTGACAGCTCCATTGCAGGCAACTTTCCCTGACACTGCGGGTCATCTAATATCCCTGGCCCTTTTCTAAAAATCTGTGCCAGTGAGATCCCCAGTGCTTGCGACAAATCTCACCCCTACACATTTCCAAATGTCCTTTATACTTGCTAGGGTGCAGCACTGCCACCAACTTGAGAACTGCTTAAGCCCCTACTGTGTCTTCTCCAACACCCCTTTACACTAAAAAACAAAAAAAAAAAGTGCACTTTTATTTTTGTTGACTGTCAGGTGACAAGCCTGTGGCCTTGGATCTCAGCAGCCTATGTGAACTCTAAATGAACTTGGCAGCTCCTGTAAGCACAGTGCTGCTCTCCTGGAGAGCCTGCTCTCAGGATGGGCCTGCCCTGCCCATCCAAACAGCAGATGTGCTGGATCCAATTCTGCTCCTGAAAGTAGGGGCCTATAATTTGGGGATATACTCAATTATATTAAGCAGTCCAGTTGTCTCTCTCTCTGGGTCAAGCTTCATTCTCATTCAGCCTTTTGCTAATAAAATTGACACTAAAAACAAAACAAAAAACACTCAAAAATCGGAGTGTTAATTTTCCGAACTTTTTCTTTCTAAAACCAGGGATCTCTCTCCCTTCCTGAAGGACAAAAGGGGGACTTTTTAATAAGTGATGTGAGATTACTGATTCCCGTTTGAAAAAAGATAAAACTGGATCCAAACCTTATACCATATACCAGAATAAACTAATAAGCGAGAGAGCTAAACACTGAAAATAAAAACAAAAACAAAAAACCCCATGTACAGAAGACGAGGGTGAATTCTTTTATAATGTAGATGTGGGAAAGTCAACTATGACTCAAAATTCAGAAGCAAAAATAAAAAAAGATTGACCAATTAAACTACATTAAAAAAACAAAATGAAAAATACGGCTCAAATATATCCATAATAAGAAATGTGTAATTAAAACCACCAAGATAACACTTTTCATCTAATAGGACCAGCAAAAATTCAAAAGTTTGACAGCACACTGCTGGCCAGGTTAGAGACACTCTGACACCTTGCTGTTGGGAGTGTCAAATGATACCACCTCTAAGGTTGGAAGTTTGGCATTATCTAACAAATTCACATATACATTTCCCCAATCCCACTTCTACGAATTTACCCTGAAGACATAAACCCCACATACAAATACAAAACAACATAAGCACAGGTTATTCATTGATTTGTGAGAGCAAAATATTAGACCAAACAACCAAATCCCCATACACAAGAGTTTGGTTAAATAAATGGTGGTACACCTATGTGCTCAAGTGCTCTATAGCCATAAAAAAAAAGACTGAGAAAAGCAAGATGCAAAAGAAATGTATTTAGAATGAGACCACTGGTGTAAGAAAGAGAAACAGAAATAAGAAAATACATGTTGGAATAGGAGAAAAACATACATAAGTTTCTTTTTGCAAACATAAACACGGTAAGAATAAAGTGAAAAGTAATAAAAATATTTAACTATTAAGGGATGGGGAGGAGCAAGATGAGGGTAAGCCTTCTCTGAGTATACCTTTTTATACACATGAACTTTGAAGCATGTAAATGTTTTATATAGTAAACACTAAAATTTTCAAAAGAAACTCTAATACTTATTACAAACAAAAACAAATAAACCTAATTTCTAATCACAAAAATAATTGCAAATAAATCTTCAACTTTAGTTGGTAGGTTTATTGTCAGCAGTAATATTATATTGGGTTGTCGGAAAAGTCATGACACATTTTTGCAACGAAAAACAAAAAAAATACGCCATGACTTTTCCGACAACCCAATAATTCTGAAATATTATGTGTATATTGCCAGCATTAAGGAAATAAGTAAATATATTAATTTTATAATGACCAAAATTTTATTGTAGGATATAAATACACGAGCGTAAAAGAAATGTAATGTTAAGTAATGCTAAGTTTGAATCAGATAAATCAATACAGACTCATGATCCTCAAAAAACATTATTTCCTATATTATTCCTACAATATTTAAAAAATATTATTTTTCAGTTCTGTCTCCTGAAAGAAGCATAAAAGCAATGGAATTCCAGGAGCAGTGGGTGGCCCCTTGCATCCAAACCTTGGTTTCTGGGCCGGACGAGTGGCTCAGTTGGTTAAGAGCTCACTCAAGAGTTTGAGCTCTGAGCAACAGCAGTTCGAATCCCGACCCGAGCTGAGCTGCCAACAGGTGGCAGGATGGCCCAGCTAAAAAAAACCAAAAACTAAACAACTCTGTCTCAAACCTTGGTTTCTAAATACAATTTCCTAGTTTAAGGCACAGAATATCTTGGAGAAAAAGCTGATTCTGGGTGTAAGTTAGGGGGAGTAGTACAAAATGAGGCTAAGGTGACTTCCTGTGCCAGAAAACAAGGAAGTGCTCTAAAGGACACAGAAGCCAGCTTCAAGGGGCTCCCACACTTGGCCAAACTTAGGATAATTTGAACATCAAACAGTACAATGACAATGCCTGATAACACACTCAGTATATGTGGGTACGTATATGTTTAACAGCGTGCATGTGTACACACACATACACTTTGAAGGGTGGGGCAAGAAGAAAAGAAAGCTACTTTATAAAACCATATCAGCTAATAAAAGTATAAGGAATGACAGAAGTATAAAATCACTGTTTTACAACTTCCCAGGTAATCATTCATTTCAGGCAAGGATCATCAATGGATGCCAAAGTCAATAGCTAAAAGGTTATTGGGGAATAGAATATTCAACATGGACTCAAAATCACCCTACAGACTACTAGTTACAGAGGGAACAAAGCTGCTTTTACAATAAGAAGGCCTAGTGGCCACTGCCTTAACCAAGGGATCAGACAATCAACAGTGGGACGCACTGACCATGCACCTCTTGGTGTGAGGCAATGAGAAGGCTCCAGTATCATGTAAGGAGGATCATTTATACATTCGAAATCTGATCGTGAGGAAGCAACTAGAAAGCCAGAATGCAAGACAAGTGGCCTGGATTCTACAAAACAACTAGATCGCTCTAAGTACATCTGGGGGAAAACTGGGGAAATCAATGGGCAAACCGATGTGGAGGGTGTACAGACACGCATGTTTGTATTCACTGAATATTCAAATGTTCTGGAAATTTGAAATTTTTTAAAATAAAAAGGTGGCGGAAAAATGTTAAAAATTTTAAAAGTATAAGGTCTTTCCAAATCCAACCTGTCTCAGCGGGGCCAGCATGAGCCAGAGCCCGTGTGAGCCACAGACCTGATCTCAGTCACACACAACAGCCCCAAAGCTGGTCAGATGGCTTAGGAAGACGGCTACTGGCTGCTGGGCCTGGGTGAGAAGATTAGACCGCATGGAAGATGAAGTTCAACTCTTCAGCTTGGAGTGAGAGCACAATTATATAAGGAGGAAAATCCAACTGACTTTTATATCAGTTTCAAGCCATCACGAGCATTGTTTTCAAATAGGAAAATGACTACCACCTTAGGTGACCACCGAATAAGAGTCCTAGAGGAAAATGAAAATGGGAAGAGTTCCATTCCACAGTTGGATTTCCAATGAAAATGAGGCTTGGAAAAGCCACGATAAAGTTAATTGGTAGAACCTGAAAATAAACCATCAATTGCAAAGGATGTCTAGATCTTAGAGGCAATCTGTGTTTCAAGGAAAAAATGAAAACAAGCTAACAAAAAATTTGCTGGAAGTTCATCTGAAAGGATTAGAAAAAGTGGCTTTGCCTTTTTAAAAAACCCTCAGCTAAATGTAAATTACCACATATTTACTAATTTAAAATTCCTTACTATATTAGGTTGTAATAATAACAGCCAACTCTACTATACCTTACCAACTATATTATACTATACAATACACAATATTACTAATTACTACTATAGTATACACAATATACTATGCTACACTGTACCAACTATATTATATGTATTTGTACCAAACTATATCAGGTTTTATAACAAGTACTGTGGAGAAGAGTCACAGAGCAAAAGATACCATGTCAGATAAAAAGTAAAATTGCAAATTCAGTAAAAACAAAACCAGTTGTTTTCCAACCAAATAAAATACACAAAATAGAAAAGACACATTACCAGCATGCTGCCTGTCCTCTGTTGAGTATGTGTGGACGGCATGAACATGACCTGACTTCCATTTATCTCCTAGGAGCATTCTGAACAGACTTCTTACAAAGTCTGAAGCAAACAAAGGACTACCCTGATTTTATGAAAAAAATCATTTTGTTTTCTGTGTCTGCTTAACTCCCAGTTAAAGCTCAAGTTGGTGAATATCCTTTTGAAGTAAATAGCACATGTTTCTAAGAGCAAGAGAATTTTGAGTGTTAAGTTGAACAGCCTATAGCTGTTTGGGGCAGAGCATTACATGTTATCAACCTTCCTTTCACTGCATTTCCGAATTCTGAAGAAAGGGGGTGGTAAACATGAAAATAGGATAAATGTGTCAATAACATAATCCTA